TATTGAATGTTGTAGGACTTAGCTCGCAGCTTCATTGCTGTTTTTTTGGGACTATTTATACATATACAAATCATACCTATATGAACAGACCTCACTCTGAGGCCCAATTCCTGTCAAGATGCCAGTAGCCATGGCACAGTGGCAGATGATGTTTCAGGGGCCCTAGGAGTTGCCTGGGGCCCATCTGAAGCAAGGAGAGGTTGGTCTTGAATACCTCTCACCTGATGGACCTCTTCTTTGTCCCCCTTCCCAATGCCCTCACGCTGCCCCAGACCTTCCTGGTTCTCTTCACTCTCATTCCTCAATGCCCAGGGGCTCGAGGGAACAGATTCAGGCTTCAGGGAGTCTCGTGACTGGGGATTTTTAGGACAAGATGCTCCTCTACTCAACAAACAGCAATTGGGGGGCCTCCTAAAAGTTCCAGACCCTGGGAAGGCTAAGAAGCCAGAAGAGTACTCTTGGCAGCCACACTCAGGAAGGTCTGAGGAGCATAGATCAATTTCTAGGATGTCCATGGGAGGCCCCCTGGCTCCCTGCTTCTGCTGGTCTTGTCCCACATTTCTTCCAAGTACAGTACTGTGGTACCTGGGGATGGTGTAGGCTGGAGGACATTTCCTCACAGAACATGGCTCAGATGCAACAGTCAGGAGAGAAACTCACCAGGTGGCAGTACTTTACCCCAGGCAAAGTCTCAGAGGCATTCAGTGGTACGGAGTCATGACTTTTGAGCTGGAATAAGGGGATGCAGGTAAGGACTTCTAGTGTTTTCTGCTATAGGCCTTATTTGTGTGTGTGAATGCTTCACAGATAGACTTTATTTTCCCCCCAAAATTGAAGGTTTGTGGCAAACCTGTGTTGAGCAAGTCTATCAGCACCATTTTTCCAATAGCGTGTGCTCACTTTGTCTCTTGTTGCATTTTAGTAATCTTTGTAATATTTTAAACATTTTCATAATGCTATTAAATCCTTAATAGACTATGGTCTAGTGTAAATATCACTTTTATTTGTATGGCAACTCAAACTACTCATGTGATTTGCTTTATTGTGATATTTGTTTTAGTGGTGGTCTGGAGCCCACACCACAGTATCTTTGAGGTCTGTCTGTATCTACTGTCAATGTGGAAAGGACAGACAAAGATAAGCCCCCAAATCCTCCTGCCCAACCTGCCTCTAGGCCTAACCTTGAGGCTCCCAGTGCAGTCTGAGGAAAGTGAAAAATAAAAGTAAAGAGCTTGGATACCATGATGGATCTATTAAATGCATCATCCCTTGGATGGGTAATTAAAAGCAAGCCAACCCAGTGCTGTGGAGTCAATCCTGATTCCTAGTGACCCTATAGGACAGAGCAGAGCTGGTTCATAGGGTTTCCTATGAATCTTTGTAAATCTTTATGGACAACATCGTTCTTCCACAGAGTAGCTGGTGGGTTTGAACCAATGACCTTTTGGTTAGCAGCCCAATGCTTAACCCATTGTGCTATGAAGGATCCTTTTGGGGGCGTGGTTTATTGTTGTTAAGTGCCATTGAATCAGTTCTGATTCATAGTGGCCCTCTGTAGGGTTTTCAAGGAGTGGCTGGTAAACTTGAACCGCCAACCTTGTGGTTCACACCGACTTTGTAGTCCAGCACATTAACCCCCAGGTCACACCAGGACTCCGGCTATTTCTATAGCCACAAACTTATATCTCTGCTGGGCCTTTATGACGAACCAGGGGCTCAATTTGGAGGCTACAAAGGTCAGAGTGGTTTCCCTCCTGGGACCCAGTGCCAGATTAACTAACCAACAAGTACCAGCTCATGGGGCCCTTGTTGGCATCTATGGACTCCCAGTTGCAAACTGAAGCCTGGGCTGAGGATGAGGTTCCGCAGCCCAGGTGCTGCCTCAGGATATGGGAGAAATTGTGCCTTGTACAACTGAATAAAGGCCTTTTTACCCCAGCTTCCCAAGACCACTCTTTGGTTACAAAGCCCTGGATCCTATCCCACTCCGAATCATTCACCTCTGGAATGAATTTTATATGCAAAATTAGTTTAAAGAACTAATTCCCTGGCAAATATCAATCTTTCAAATAATTAATTTGGAATTTGACATTTCCCCTTTTGGTATGAGAGATGAGAGCTGGAAAGGGGAGGAGAAATAAAAATGCCCTACCCACACCTACTCTGAAACTTTAGCAGAGAGATGACCTGCGTTCTCCTTCCCCCAGCCCTCCAGGCATTCTCCTTGAAAGGCATTCTGCCCTGGCTCTCCGGCTGACTTCTGTCAGGATGAGTAAAGCTAGAAGAGAACAAGGTCACTGGCAGGCCTGGCACATGCTCCCCAGAACTTTCCATTGACTTGCTCCTTCTCGGCTGGGGACAAAGCCAAGGCCAGGGCAACGGCCTCCCAAAGAAATGAAGAAGCTGGACTTTGGGGAGAGAAAAGGGGCAAGGACTGTGTGGGTGTGGAATTCCATATGGTCTCCCAGATCCCCAGATTTCCAGTGCAATGGAAAAAGAGCTCCCGTGCTTTCAGGATTGGAAGAGCATACACATCTAGTCATGAAAAGCTGACTCTTCTTGCTGCGCTCTACTACTTGCCATTGGGTGATCATGAGGGGACCATGACCCTGACATCCCAGTTTTCCCCATTATTAAATCAGGAGGGAGCTGGATAGCTTCTAAAGTCCCTCACAGCTGGGATAGTGTCTGTCTAATGACTGTCCCTGGCTTGCCCCAGGGAGTCTTCCTCCTGGCCTTCTGGGCTTCACCCTCTTCTGACCCTCTTCCCACAGTCCTTTGCTTTGCTTTTCCCTTACCCTTTCTTACTCTGCCTATCCTGTGTGCTCTCAACAGGAAAACCTTTTGTCACTTGTCAAACTTAAGCTTTTCCTTTTTTGCCCTTAACATGCCACTAAAGTCTGTCTTTTCTAGGGTGTCTGTCTTGATTGACCTGAGCATACTCCTTCCATACAGATGGGCTCACCATCAAGTATCTTCACATATAAGCACCCACCATTATTGTCCTAGCCTAGGGGGGTAAATGGTGGCTTCATATGATAAGCATTGTACCATGAACCACAAAGTTGGCAGTTCGAGCTCACCAGCTGTTCCACAGGAGAAATAGGAAGCTTTCTGTTCCTACAAAAATTTAAACCCTATGTTGTTGTGAAGTGTTGCCAAGTCAGTTCTGACTCATAATAATCCTGTATAGGGTTTCCAAGGAGCGGTTGGTGGGTTGGAACTGCAAACCTCATGGTTAGCAGTCCGCTGCTTACCCAGCAGCGTTATACCAGGACTCCACGCTGGGTCATTAAGAGTTGGAACTGATGCTACAGCCCTTAACAACAACAACAAGGTGAGTAGGAGGATACATTCTGTTTTGGTGGCGGATTTGCCTTGCTGATGATGACTGGTACAGACATAAGGCAAATGTGGCTGATGTGTTCTGAGCACACTATTCATGGTGATAGGGGAACCAGCCAGCCCAGAACCATCCCATCAGCTGCCCATAGATGTGTCACTGAGTTCTGTGGAAATCTCCTGAGTGCTGCCAAGATCAGCAAAATTGCCTAGCAGACCTACGCAGCTGAAAAATAACAAATGGCTAGTTTTTAAATCCACAGTGTACTGGGGAGAGTTCCTGGGTGGCACAAATAGTTAAGCTCCTAAACAAAAGGTTGGTGGTTTGAAGCTACCCAAAAGCACCGTGGAAGAAAGCCCTGGTGACTGGCTTCTGAAAGATCAAAGTTTTGAAAACCCTAGGAAGCCATCTATTCTGCACACATGGGTTGCTATGAGTTGGAATCCACTCAACAACAACTGTATTTATTTTCTTCTTATAGTCAGGTGGTTTGTGGTGGCAAAAGCAGATACCCAGAAAGGACCGAAGTGGGTAGAGTACATACTGGGTTCTGCAATTCCGGGTGGCACAAGACTCCATTATGGCACTGGCCTGGGCATGCAGCTACAGTTATCTAGAGTTCAGAGCCTGGAACATTGATGAGCTCAGCATGAGGGGACAATTAATTCCAGGAAGCCTGCTAAAAAGTGACCAGGCACCAGAGTTAAGGCAGATCCAACCATCCTTCAGAGGTGGCATGACCTCCTATGTGCAGGGTCAAAGTGCAGACAAGGGACTGTCTTCAAGTCTGACACCAACCCTAGAACCCAGGCAGGCAGGTATTATGTTCCCATCAACCCAGGGCTAGCAGGGAATTTTACAAATAGGAAGAACTGGATCACTTTCATTTAACAATTATCTACCAAATGCTTACTATAGATCAGACACTGTTCTAAGCACTGGGGACATAGCAGATGACTTCATGGACTGGACCTTCCTAGGATACCAAATACGGCCTTTAAAAAGTGTGAAAAGAGGAATGGGGGTAGTTAACCTTTCTGTGGTGGCTTTAAATTATGGGCACCATCTTTGTTACTCCTCTTTTCAAAAGGTGGAGCTTAATCTCCTCCCCTGGAGTGTGGGCTCTACCTAGTGAATTACATGGAATGAATATGGTGGACGTGATGCTGTGTGACTTCTGAGAGGAGGCCATTGAAGACATTCCAGGTGCTGGCTTGTTCTCTCTCAGGGAGCACTTGCTCCGGGGAAAGCCAGCTGCCACGTCATGCAGATACTGAAGCAACCCTAGGCTGTGTAAGGAGCCGAGGCTCCTGCTAACAGCCACATGACTGAGCCCCCTTAGAAGTCATCCTCCAGCCTCAGACAAATCTTCAGACACTGTTGCCCCTGCTGACATCTTGACTACACTTTCATGTCAAATCCTGAGTAAAAGTCAGATAGTATCCATTTGACCTAGCTTCGATGGCTTGATAATCAGAACTTGACTAGAGGAAGACAAAAAAAAACAAAACAAAACAATGTTGATAAAGGAAACGAGGGTAAATTGCAACAATTTGATGAACTTGACCTATACTCATGGAGGTAGTAAGTCTAAACACCAACAGGAGGGAAGGAGTCTTCACATCAAGTATCAATGCTATCCCCTCTACACAGGGTAGATAGGGACGGGCAACTTAGACATTGGCTACCTAAAATAAGGGGGCGATAAAGGCACGAAGTGACTGGCTTACAAGGTTTTAAGAGGGAGTTTAGTTTAAGAGTGTGTCGGGGAAGAAAGAGTCCCCACTGAATAGATTTCATCTTGTCTAGATAGGTCTGGTTAAAAAAGAGGAAATAAGATTCTTTATGATTCAATACTGAGTAATTGTTATCATGACTAACTGCGACAGTCACAATTGTAAAGGTAAAAGTTTTGTAACAAAAATGGGGGAGCAGTTCATCTTACAGTCCAATAACAAAGGACCCTAGGACCATCAAGGTAGAAGAGCACAAGCGGAATGCGGGACCTTATCCAGAGAAGTAGTGACATAGAGATGGAGGCAGAGATGGGGGCATGGAGAGAGGGAGCAGCTGAGGACTCTAGATTCATGGGAAGAGAGGGACTTATAGCTGGTGGCTAGGAGGCAGACTTGCAGAATGGGTCCTTTGGTGGTGTAAATTACTATATATGCCTGAGTGTTTTTTTTTTAAAAAAAGAGCTAAAGTGACTAGAGAGAAATACTGTTAACTGATGGTATATGGAGGGGATTATAACCATTGTAATGAAACAAGGTGTTTGATTTGTTGAATGTAAACCTGATGATCTGCCCTGTGAACTTTCACTCAACTCACAATAATAACTTATAAAAACAAAAAACAATAACAACAAAAAAGCCTGAGCAAAAGTCACTCAGCTAAGCTACTTCTTAATTCTTGACTCACAGAAATGGTGGCATAATAAATAGTTGATGTTTTAAACTGCTAAGTGTTTGGGGTAATCTGTTACTGTACTAACACATAGCGATAGACTCCTGCTAGCCTCCAATTTTGGAGTCCTGGTATGGCCCTGCTGTGGACTAATGTGGTAGACTGCAAAGTTGGTTTGAACCCCAAGGTTGGTGGTTCAAGCTCACCAGTCACTCCTTGGAAACCCTATACAGGGTCGTTATGGGTCGGAAGTGACTCAACAGCACTTAACAACAACAACAACATCCTCCAATTTGAATCCATTATTCCCTCCTTCATAGTTTCCGTAACTCCAAATAAAGGGGGAACAAAATCTAGGAATACATGAGACACAGGATGGTGGAAAACTGAGCTCAGACAGAAGGCTCTCAATAAATATCTTTTGCATGGAATGAGAAGAAACAAAAGTTTGTCAATGGCAGTAGAACTGCAGGTTGACCTTGAGGCTCAAGCTCTATGTAAGTGTGTGTTTCCTTTGGTTTTGCAGGCCCAGGTTGAGAGAGCTGAGAATTTGGAGACAGAGGCTAAGGGAGACTGGGAGGGCACACAGACTCACTTGAGCAGGATTTCATACTGGCCAGCATGCCAGGGCTGCACGTTCTTTAGAACCAGGGTAAACACATCCTCATTCTGTAGCACTTCAAAGTGGCCACTGTCCCTGGAGAGGACTTTGCCATCTCGGAGCCAATGCACAGTGGGGAAGGGATCACCAGCAATGGCGCAGGACATGAGGACACTCTGGCCTAGGGTGGCTGTCACCGAGCGAGGCTTGCTGATGAACCACGGCTGGATGCCATCGTGAGGTTCTGGAAGTGGACAAAAGGTAGACTTAGAGAGAGGGGGCCCTGGAATTGCAAAAGTTAAGTGCTTGAATGCAAACTGAAAGGTCAGTGGTTCAAACTCACCAACTGCTCTGCAGGAGAAAAGATCTGGTGGTCAGGTCCCATAAAGATTACAGCCTACGAAACCCAATAAGGCAGTTCTGCTCTGTCCAATGAGGTCGCTATGAGTCAGCACCCACTCAACGGCACCCACCAACAACAGAGTAGGAGAGGGAGGTCTTTCACTCAACTCTCATGGTGGTAAAGGATTGGAAGAGAGCAGGATTGTCAGAAATCACTTCTACTGTGTGGCCAAATACAGTACATCCTTCTTGTTGAAAACTCTGTCTTGACTACATTCTCAGATGATAATATCAACATAAATTTGCATATCCCAAGAAAAAGAGGCAGCAGCTCAGAATGTACAGGGGACACTGGGCTTGACTCTAATGATCCACATTACATGCATCTGATTAGCATTGCCCCTGGCTTTATACATACTTACCTTGTCTCTCTGCTTAAATATAAATTCTCTAGAGGCAAGGACCCTAAAAAGCTCATGATTCACCTGAAAGTGTTATCACTGCCAAACTGTTGGGAGCATTATAAAATTTCTCTCTCAGCACTCTGGGTAGCTTGTCACTAGCATCCCAGAGAAAGGTGGGGGATTACTGCAGGCAGGGAAGGTCAGCCCCTCTGCCAGAGCTTATTCAAAGGATAGGAAGCTGGGTTCTGGGGCTGAGATGAGCCTATGGGTGCAGGGAATCCACAATGGGAGCAAATGGCTCCCTTACCTCAAATTGGCCCCCAGCAGCTGGTCAGCCTCACCTTGCACTGTGAGCACAGCCTGGGAGCGGGCCTCTCCAGCGCTGTTCCAGGCCTCACATGTGTACGTGCCCGTGTCCTCTGGGAATACCTCCTGGATACAGAGGCTGTGCCAAGCACCCTGCTGTTCAAAGTGGAAGTCCTCCGACTCCTGGATCTCCTTCCCATTGTGGAGCCAGATGACCTCAGGGGGCGGTGTCCCTAGACAGGAGGAGAACCAGTGAACCAGTGTGAAAGGGCAGGGGGACCGCCAGGGAGATACTCCCCTGGTACTCCACTGAATGCTATACTAAACTCCCTATGCTTCAGTTTCCCCATCCTAACAGAAGGATTCTTACTATATGGAACTCAGCTTTGCTGACAGGATTAAAGGAGTTAATACAGCATCCCTTTGCAGCTCATTAGAGTTGCAGGTCATATATAATAGCGCCTGGCACAAAGCAAGCACTCGAGAATGCTCATTTTAATTATTGCTTAACAACTGGTTTGGGGACACTAGACAGAATACAAAAGTGAAAAGCATGATTTCAGAAATAAAAGAAGACCCAAGAAGAAAGGTTTGAAAAATTAGAATCAGTAGTGTTTGATGTAGCACTGTAGGATAAGCACAAGGTTGTCAGTTCAAACCAACTAGCTACTCCTAAAACTTTACATTGTTATTAGGTACCATCAAGTTGGTTCCTACTCATAGCGACCTTGTGCACAACAGAAGGAAGCTGGATGCCCAGTCCTGCACCAGGTCTGCGCCGCCCTCACAAGCCTTGTTAAGCTGGAGCCATGGCTACTCCACTGTGTCAGTCCATCTTGTTGGGGGTCTTCCTCTTTTTTGCTGATCCTCCACTTTCCTAAGCATGATGTCCTTCTCCAGGGACTGGTTCCTCCTGATAACATGTATGAAGCTTAAGAGAAGAAGTCTCGTCATCCTGGCTTCTAAGGAGCATTCTGGTTGTACTTTTTCCGAAACAATTTTGTTTATTCTTCTGGCAGTCCATGGTACTTTCAATATTCTCCTCCAACACCATAACTCAAATGCATCAATTCTTCTACAGTCTTCCTTATTCATTCTGCAACTTTTACATGCATATAAAGCTACTGTAAATCGCCTTAGTCCTCAAACTGGTATCTTTGCTCCTGAACATTTTAAAGAGGTCTTGTGCAGCAGATCTGCCTAATGTAATACATTGATTGATTTAGTGATTGCTGCTTCCATGAGTGTTGATAGTGGATTCAAGCAAAATGAAGTCTTTGACAACTTCAGTCTTGTCTCCATTTATCATGATTCTATATGTTGGTCCAAAGGTGAGGAGTTTCATTTTCTTTACATTAAGGAGCGACCCCTACTGAAGGCTGTGATCTTTGATCTTCATCAGTAAGTGTTTTAAGTTCTCTTCGTTCTCAGCAAGCAAAATTACAACATCTGCATATTTCAGGCCATTAATGAGTCTTCCTCCAATTCCGATGCCATGTTCTTCTCCATATAATCTAACTTCTTGGATTATTTGCTCAGTGTACAGATTGGAAAACTATGGTGAAAGAACACAACCCTGGTACACGTCTTTCTTAATTTAAAACTTTTTAGTGTACCCTTATTCTGTTCGAACGACTGCCTCTAGGTCTAGGTACAGGTTCCTCACAAGCACAATTAAGTGTTCTGGAATACCCATTCTCCTCATTGTTGTCCATAGCTTGTCCATAGACATAGTCGAAAGCCTTTGCATAGTTAGTATAGCATAGGTAAACACCTTTCTAATATTCTCTGTTTTCAGTCATGATCTATTTGATGTCAGCAATGCTAGCCCTTGTTCTACATCCTCTTCTGAATCCGACTTTAACCTCTGGCAGTTCACTTTGAATGTACTGCTGCAGCCGTTTTTCAATTATCTTTAGCAAAATTTTACTTGCATGTGATATTAATGATATTGTCTGATGATTTCTGCATTCTGTTGGGTCATCTCTCTTTGTAATGGGTACACATATGCATCTCTTCCAACCAGTTGGCCAGGTAACTATCTTCTAAATCTCTTGGTATAAATGAGTGAATGCCTCCAGTGCTGCATCAGTTTGTTGAAAGATTTCAACGAATTCCCAGAGCCTTGTTCTTTGTCAATGCCTTCAGTGCATGTTGGACTTCTTCCTTCAGTACCATTGGCTCTTGATTATATGCTTCCTCTTAAAATGGTTGAACATCATTTCTTTCTGTTACAGTGACTCTGTTTTCCATCTTCTTTTGATGCTTTCTGCATCATTCAATATTATGTTCATAGAGTCCTTCAAAATTTCAAGTCAAAACTTGAATTTTGTCTGTTCTTTTAGCCTGAGAACTGCTGAACACATTCTGCCCTTTTGGTTTCCAACTCCAGGTGAACTGCTGAACACATTCTGCCCTTTTGGTTTCCAACTCCAGGTCTATACACATTTCATTATAATATTTGATTTTTGTCTTCTTGAGTTTCCCTTTAAAATTTTTCTATTTAGTTCTTTTACTTGTCATTCTTTCATTTGCTTTAGCATCTCTATGCTGGAGGGCATGTTTTAGAGTCTCTTCTGACATCCATTTTGGTCTTTTCCTTGCTTTTTTGTCTTCTGAATAACCTTTTGCTTTATTCCTGTATGATGTTCTTGATAGCACTTCTGGTCTTTGGTCATTAGTGTTTAATACATCATATCTGTTCTTGAGATGACCTCTAAATTTGGGTGGGATATAGCCAAGGTCAAATTTTGGCTCTCCTGGACTTTGGAAACCCTATACAATGTCACTCAGAGTTGGAACCAACTTGACGGCATTTAACAACAACACCGCCAACATAAGTCAGACTCAACTTGATGGCAGTGTTGTTGTTGTTTCTGTTTTTATGTGGGAGTTCTTAAATACTGTCCAGTGGAGTCTGACTCAAGGTGACCCCATGTGTGCAGAGCCTGGTCCATAAGGTTTTCAAGATATATGACCTTCCAGAAGCAGATCCTCAGGTCTGCCTTCTGAGACTCCTTCAGGTGGGTTTAAAACATCACCTTCTGCCTAGTAGTCAAGTGCTTAGCCGTTTGTAACCCCTCATGCACAGCCACCACAACACTCTGTCATTAAGTGTTGCTATGATGCTGAGTAGGTTTCAGTGGCACTTCCAGACTAAGATAGATTAAGAAGAAAGATCTGATCATCTACTCCCATAGCTCAGCCAGTGAAAATTCTGCTACTTGACAGCAGCTAACTATGAGAACAGGACAAGGATAAGACGAGGTGGCAGACTCTTGGAACGGGCTGCTGAGGGAGGCTGCATCTGGAGGCAGGTAGAGAGTGCCTCAGAGAAGCTGCAGTGTCTACTTCTGGGCTCTGTGTGTATGTGTGTGTGTGGGGGAGGGGATGAGGTGGCTTGAGGCATGCAGCTCTCTCCCTGGGATTATCAGATTGTCACAGGGTTGCCTCCAGCTTGCAGGAGCAGGGAGTTCAACCGAGGATCCCTACAAAGGTTCTCTCACCCCATACCTTGATTGCTTCTGTAGCCAAAAGGTATTGAGACATCAGGATGCCAAAGGGACTGATCACTGGCTGTTGTGAAGGTTAATAATCACTTATGCAATTAACATCAACAATATATGGAGGCCCCCCAGCCACTAGGTCTATACCCAGAGACTCCCAGACTCCCCTCCATCACTTCCAGTAAGAACTGAGAACTCAGATTGGGATGCTAATCACATGCTCTCGGTAACCCTGCCTCTGTTTTAGAAGGGCCTTTGTTTTACTTCTCACCTTCCAATGTGGACACAACAACTGAGAATATCTTCTTAGAGCCAAGAAGTTCTCACATAATCTTTGTACCAGTCTTCAACACCTGCCAGCTACATTGCCCACATTAGATTTTCAAATGAATCCCTTTTCCATCTAGCCACTGCTGTCTTCTTCCCCTGTATCACTTCACCTTGAACCTAGAAGATCCCACATAGAGGAGGCCAAAGAGAGAAGCCAAGAGGCATCTACTTCCTTTAGGTCTAGTGCCTGGTGGTTTCTTGCTGGTTTTCTGGTGGGTTAGTGATCTAAGAGGAACCTTGGAGAACAATGCCCATGTTATAATCACAACCGTGTCCACCCTGGGAAGAGAGGTGCAGACACAGACCTGACACCTGGACTGTCATGGTGACCTGGCTTCCATCCATGACTTTGAGGTCAGAGAGGCCCTGCAGGAAGATGGGCGCAACGGACTTGCTGGGAGACACAGGCTGAAGGTTCTCATTCTCCCTGTCACTCTTCTTTTCTGTGTGGCAGACAACAGAATGTGGGTTGAGCAATTCATTCATTCATTCAACAAACCCATGCTACATGATTACTTGGTACAACAATGGCTCTGTTCAGCTTCCCACCAGAAATGGACTGCTAACAGATGAAGTGTTAGAGATCCTGGAGATCACTGAGTCCTTGGTGCAATTGGTTCATGTATTCACCTGCTAATGAAAAGGTTGGAGGTCTGAGTTCACCCAGAGACACCTTGAAGAAAGGCCTGGCAATCTATTTCTAAAAATTTAGCTTTTGGGAAAGATTCTGGTATATTTGGGTTCTTATCAGCCCCAAACTCAACCCACTGCCATTGAGTTGATTCTCATAGCAACCCTGTATAGGGTTTCTGAGGTTGCAAATCTTTACGGGAGCAGAAAGCCCCATCTTTCTCTCTTGAAGTGGCTGCTGGGTTTGAACTACTGATTTTGTGCACAGAACCACAAATATCAGCTCTTCTCTGGTAAACCCTGGAACCACAGGGATACATTTCCAAGGTGGTGCTTTGCATACAGGAATGCGCAGTGTGTTCAGCATTGGGCTGCCAACCTCAAGGTCAGTGGTTCAAACCCACCAGCTTCTCCAAGGGAGAAAGATGAGGCTGTCTGCTCCCATACAGACTGACAGCTTTGAAAACCCTAAGGAACAGTTCTCCTCTGTCCTACAGCGTTCCTATGAGTTGAAATTGATACGATGGTCATGGGAGTAAGCTTTACACACCTGAAAAGGGCCTAGTTCCAATTCACCTCTGAGTTTTTATTTACTACCACTGAAAGCTAAATATGATCTGCTGAAAGTTTCTAAAAGCCCCGTTAGGGTGTGAATGGAGAGAGGCTGGGAAGAAGGCTTAGGAGGCTGGAGGTAGCTTCTCCAAGCAGGTGCAGTGAGAAGGGCATGGAGTCAGTCAGGACAAAAAGCCACAAGAGGGGATCCCAGGTCCCACTGCGCTCCCTGCTCTGGAGAGCCCCCTCCCCAGCTCAGGCTTCACTGCTGTTGATGGAGGCTGGCCCAGAGGTCTTGGCAGAAGCCCCTGAGTGGGTTTTGGGGCTGGTGTTGCTGATGCACAGATCTTGGTCCCGTGCTGCTGCAGTGGCCAGGAAAGCTGGCTGCCTCGGGAGAGTACAGGAATTTCCTGTCTTTCACAGACTGAGAATGAGAAGGCTCAGGACAAAATGTTTTCGCCTCTCCAGAGTACTCCCTGTACCCGCCTCTCTGCTGTCTCAACCTGAGTCCCAATCCTCAGAAACTTCCAGCAGATGCAGCTTGCATTCCTAGGTGCTGTGGGGGCTCCCAGAGCTCTCCCTGCTTTCTCCTTCAAGCCTGTGGAGCCCAACTGTCTCTGAGCCCAGTTGCCGCTCCTTCTTCCACTGCCTGGTTCCTACTCAGTGTATGTTCCGGGATTTGATTAACCCAAGTCACTTATCAAGTTTTGGTCACTGGGGCTAAAGTCCAGTGTTTCTGAGAGGAGGCCTGGGTACTTCCTCCCACATCACAGCTCACTGGCTGAGAGCCAGCCATCTGCCTGCAGCTGTACAGTGGCCAGCCTAGGGGGAACTGGGCCCTGGCCTTGGGCAAGCCATCGACTCTCCCTAAAGCTCAACTTGCTCATCTATGTAAAAAATAGGGACTAATAACAATATCATCACAGGATTTGGGGGAGTTTTAAAGAGCCACTATGTGAAAATACTTTGTAAAACTACTTAGTTGTCAATCTATTTGTATGAATTTGACCAACTCATTACCTGTCCACTTAGATACAATTATCCGACGGTTTCTCCTGCCTTATCTCTATGTAAGTCTCACTGTATCTACCATTTGCTTTTTCTGGAATCTGAATGGTCTTCCTTTATTCATATAGAATGACTGCACAGAATAAACCCCATGTTCAATTTTTGTTGACTTTTGATTATTTTTAACAGGAATAAATGTTCAGGATTAACCTATTCTCAGACCTGCAGTTTGGGGTCAGGTTTCTGATTGTATTAACCATCCCTACCAGGGTGGGTCACAAGGGCCTAGAGTGACTGAGAATCCAGTGAATCATTCCCAGTATCTAGTTGTCTCCAGTTCTTCACAGACTTGAGAAATCAACCAACCCTCCGTACGAACACACTGCACCAGGACTAAGGGTGCCAGGGAAGATGCTGGGCAAATGGCTTCCTAAGAATAAAGCAGCCCTAACTAGAATGAGTCCTGGTGTGGTGCTGTGGGATAAAGCACTGGAGAACAAAGTCAGTTTCAATTATAAAGTTGGTGGCTCAAACCCACCAGTTGATCCTCGGAAGCCCTGTACAGGATCGGTATGAGTCGGAACTGATTCAACGGCACTTAATAGCAACAGTGGCAGCTAGAATGAAGTTTGAAGTTGTCCAAGGTTTCATTTTACTTGGGGCTACAATCCACACCCATGTAAGCGACAGTCAAGAAATCAAATGACATATTACATTGGACAACTCTGTTGCACAAGACCTCTTTAAAGTGTTCAAGGGCAAAGATGTCAGTTTGAGGACTAAAGTTCGAGAACTAAAGTGGCTCAAGCCAGGGTATTTTCAATAGCCTCATATGTGTGTGACAGCTGGATAGTGTATAAGGAAGACTGGAGAAGAATCGATACCTTTGAATTATGGTGTTGGTAAAAAATATTGACTATATCATGGGATAAGATAAGCACTGGACTGCTAACCACAGGTTGGTGGTTCAAACCCATCAGCCACTCCTCAGAAACCCTGTACAAGGTTGCTATGAGTCTAACTCAACAGCATGTAACAATAACAAGAACCATGAGAATAAGAAACAAATCTGTCTTGGAAGAAGTATAACCAAATGTCTTCGTAGAGGCCAGGATGGTATGACTTTGGACATGTCAGGAGGACATCATGGAGAAAGACATCATGCTTGGTAACATGGAAAAGTGCTGGGTCAGTGAAAAAGAGGAAGGGTCAATGAGGTGGACTGACAACAGTAACTACCTCAAACATAGGAAAGGATGTAAGGATGGCACGGGACCGGGCAATGTTTCATTCTGTTGTATACAGGGTTGGTATGAATCTGGGTTGACTAAGTGACACCTAATGACAACAACTAGTATCCCCAAAAGCAGAAACCCCAGCCCTAGTTCTATCACCTGTCTTCACTAATAGAGAGACCAGGATTCAGGACAGTGAAGGGACTTGTCCAAGGTCACAGAGCTGTTACAGACACAGCTAGGGCTTCTGCCTGCACCTGCAGATGAGTCCAGGAGGAATGACCTAGGCCATGCATTCTGAAGGGCAGCAGCCTTCTCCCCTGGTGCCCACATGAGCACTCTACAAAGATAAATATACTATCTGCTGACTCGCATCCTGTTGTGCGGTGTCTTCAGTGAATTCCGACTCACAGCGAGCAGGTGAAGGGTTTCCGAGGCTTCAAGTCTTTATGGGAGCAGAAAGCCTCATTTTTCTCTCTCAGAGCAACTGGTGGGTTTTAATTGCCGACTTGTAGTTAGCAATCCAGTGCTTATCCTACAGAGCCACCAGAGTTCCAACTCATATCCTTGCTGTTGTTGCTAAGCACTGTTGAGTCAGTTCTGACTCATAGCAACCCTGTATAGAGTTTCCAAGGAGCAGCTGGTGGGTTTGAACCGTCAGTCTGTGGATAGCAGTCCAGTGCCGATCCTACAGCATCACACCAGTATTTGTATCCTAGGTCCCTGAACACTGAAACAAGCTGAAGGAAGTAGAGATAGATTGTTGTTGTTGTTGTTAGGTGCCATCGAGTCAGTACTGACTCATAGTGACCCTATGTACAACAGAACAAAACACTGCCCAATTAAATAAGCCAGGTAAAAAGGGCCATGTGTATACATGCATGTTTGTACTTCATTTCATTCTACTGCAAATGATCCTGGCTTATCTATGACCTGTGCCAGTTTATGTTCACTCTTGTATGAACCAAGGTAAAATATGAAGCAGATAAAACCAAAACCTGTTGCCACTGAGTCAATTCCAATTCATGTCAACCCCTGTGTGTCAGAGCGGACTGTGCTCCACAGGGTTTTCAATGACTGACTTTTCAGAAGCAGATATCCAGGTCTTTCTTCAATGATGCCACTGGGTGGGTGTGAACCAGTGAAAAAGCATAAACTGTTCTATGGACTGAGATAAAAAAAAGCAGATAGAAACTAGCATTCTCAACTCATGGCTCTAGCTGTGCCATCTGTCCCTAGCTGTGTAATCTGAAGCAAAGTCCCTAATCTAAACCTCAGTGATCTTGCCTCTAAACTGTTGTTGCTATAAGTGCTGTCTTGTCAGGTCTGACTCATAGTGACTGTATAGGGTTTCCGAGGAGTGGCTGGTGGGTTTGAACTGCTCTCTAATTTGAATTCCAGTGCCGATCTGCTTCTAAATTAATGACCATATATTATCCTCTGAAGGGGCTTTAAGGAGTTCTGCTAGCTTAGTGGGTTATGCATTTGGGTTGCTAACCACAGGGACAACGGTTCACCAGTAGCACCATGGGAGAAAGATGAGACTTTCTGCTCCCAGAAAGATTTACAGCCTCAGAAACCCTATACAGAGTCACTATGAGTTGGAAGTGACTCTGCAGCATGCAGCAGCAGGGGTTTTAAGTGATTACAAGAACTAACACATGTAAAACAGTCAGAATAAAATCTGGCACATAGTGTAATAATAATATATGTATATTTTCCCTTTTCCTAACCTAACTGATTTTCAAAGTTAGGCAAACTCCATCTGACAAAAGCTGCAATGAGAAACTCCCCCAAACCAGAAAATTCACAAGCAATCAGGTTAAAGTAGCAACTGCCATTGAGACAAAATGGTTACCAATAACTTCTTACAAAGTCCAGCACTTTAGGATTATAAAGCATGTTCAGGGCTCATTGGGTGTTTATCCCCTATATCCTCTGAAGTAGTGAGCAGATTTTGTCCCCAGTTTACATTTGAGGAGCTGAGGGCTAGGAGAGGAAGCTTGCTTATCCAGAGA